CCTCTCGGGATAGAGTAATCCTGTTGGGTGACGTTATTGCTGATGCTGACACCTAGGCTGGAGTGATTGTAAAGCATGGGCCAGATCGGCTCAATTGAATGGTAGGAGGCTGCTCGACTCCTGTGCAGCCATGGCCTTGTAATTACCAACATGCTGTTCTGGCAACGGCGCATCCACACAACCTCATGATGCACACCGGGTCCATGCAAGAACATCTGCTGATGTCGAGGGGAAATGGGAGAGGTTCAGGACTGCGGCTCATGCAGCTGCAATATCTGCGTTGGGTATGCGGTCCAAACCTCCCAAGAGAGGCTGGCTGATGGAGGTGTTCTGGCTGGCTGAGAAAAAGCAACAGTCCCACTCCGACCATTTACAGCATCACACGTCAGAGAATGAGGAGGCTTTACTGCAGCCTTCACTCGGAGGTTTGGAGAGCAGTACAGCGCTGCAAGAATAGGTGATGGTCACAAGTTGCTGACGAGATGGAATCTGGCTCAATAGCCTGCAATCACAAATCCCTCTTAAATTCCATTAAAAAGTAACTTGCAGCGCCACACCTATCGCCATCCGTAGGGGAAAGAAAGGTGATCCAATCTCTGACCCTCAGGAACAGATTTGCAGGTTTGCTGAACAATTCTGTGAGATCTTGGGGTAGGGCAAATCCTTCATCCCAGGAAACATCATAGGGCAAAGTGGGGATGACCCTGTTGAGGCTGCGGTGCCTTAAATAATGGAAGAAGTCATCGCCCCCTGTGAGTAGCTGGCTGAGGTGTCATCTATTGAGGAAGTACGAAAGGAGATCCAGAGTCTGAGATGAGGGAAAAGCGCCAGGCAGACATGATCTTCCAAGCGAACTGCTAGGGAGGGTGGCGTTTGTGTGCAGACTGCCCTATGTGACATCATTATCACAGTCTAGACCACTGGATGGGTTCCGCAGGATTGGAAAGATGCCCTGGTTGTCCCCCTCTTTCATAAGGTGGACTGCACAGAACTACAACGGCATGTCTCCCTCAGTGTGCTGGGAAAGGTCCTAGCAAGGATTATGCAACATTACCTTGCCAGGCACGTTGAAGAGAGGCTTGCGGAGTCTCAATGTGGCTTCAGACCGGAGCGGTCCTGCACAGACGCCATATTCTCTGTGTTTCTGCTACAGCAGAGGTCTAGGGAATTCCAACTGGACCTACATTTCAGTTTTATTGACCTGGTCAAGGCCTATGATAATCATCAATAGGCCTGGGCTCTGGGTTCTTCATGCTTCCAGAGTCTCTGACTCACAATCATTAAGGACCTTCATGATGGTGGGCAGGCCTGGGTAAAGCTACGTGGGAGTCCGAGCCATTCCCTGTTCACCTTGGGGGTGTAACAGGGATGTCCTTTATGTAACATCTTTTTAACATCTTTTTCAACCACATAGTTCGAGAAGCCTTCCATAGCTGTACCAGAGGAATTTCCGTCTGGTACAGATACATCGGAAGACTGATTGATGTTGGGATATGGTTGAGGGATGGCTCCCTATTGGTCAGCCATGTTATGTATGATCTGGTGATTGCTGCTCACTCAGAGAAGGAGTTGCAGGCACTGCTGCTTGACCTGGAGCGTTCTACTAAGAGATGAGGCCTTACCATCAGCCCCTCCAAAATTAAGCACCTGCCCTGGGTATTTTGTGTCATCAAACACTCCACCCCCTCAACTCCCCATTCGTGATGGGGCAGTTATGGAGTGGAGATCTCCATACCTGAGCAGTGTGCTTATGACCAGCCCTGGTTTGACAGCAGAGGTCTCTCTCCGAATCAGTCAAGCAGCTTTATATTTTGATCGGCTGTGTAATGCTGTGTGGAAGATACCTGATCTGTCACTCCACACAAAGCTTCTCGGCCACAGTCATGCCCTCCCTTCTCTATGCTTGCGAAACGTGGATCTCCAAAATCGAACATGTTCGCCGATTAGAAATATTCAGGCTGGCTTGCCTACGATCTATCCTGGGTTTTACCAAGCTGGATCGTGTGAGGAGCCCACAAATCCTTTAAAGATATAGGATACAGTCCCATCGGTGAGCTCCTTGGCAGACGAGGCTTCGTTAACTGGATCATGTAGCCCGCATACCCAGCCACTGCATGCCCAAATAGCTTTTGTTCGGCCGGAAAGAGGGGGGCGAAAGGGGCTAAACACTGGCTACAGAAGAGATATAATGATGTGAGACTGGTACCAGCGGTGTCAAGACCAGCCTCTGTGGAGGAGCCTCGTGAAGGATGCTACTGGGCAGTTGGAGGCAGTCGACCTCCAACAACGGAGGGAAGAGGACCGATGCTCTCAACAACGAGCAGAGCGTAGGGTGGCTAAAACACAACAAGTTGGCACAGTTAGAGGCATAGGTGGTGAATCTGCCAGTCATCTCAGTCAACCCATGGCATCTGGGTCTGTCCCGTTACCGGCCAGCAGGTGTTCAACACTTTACGTGGCCTTAAAGTGCACATAGCCTGGCACAAGCGCCATGGTGACGTCACCACCACTAAGTGGAAAATAGTGGTTGTTATTGTTGTTGAGTGATTTATGTAATTGGTGCATAATTCTGTTGCAGTGTCTGCAGAGTACAGAGAAACCCCCTCTTATTCGGAATATCCTATTATCTGCACACATCGAATCTTCCTGCTATCCACACATATCTGTAGATGAAAAGTGCTGTCGCTGAGGTGCTGCGTTCATCGCCGCTCATTGCTGAGGTTCAAAGTTATAATCCTGCAGCCACCCTGGTTATAACTGCGGAAGTATTAACCATAAATACACGCCGTCCGCTTGACAGTGGGCGTTAAAGATCGCATGATGTAATTCGAAACGAGTCGGTCTTTGTGTGCTAGCGTCATGGTCCGAATTTGGGACATTGGAAACATTGTAATATAAATGTCAATCATCTCTCCCTTCTGTGGACATTTGGCAGGATCATCCTGAAAAGCAGCCTTGAGACTCGGCGAGGCTCTTCCTAGGTAAACAAGCGGAGTAGTAACTCTTATTATCCACGCAAATACACACACGGGGAAGCTGCCACCGCGCTGGTGCGGTCAGTGTACTGCAATTCTGAGGTCACCGGTTCGATTCCATCAATGGGACAAGTTTCTCAAATCTCCCCTCCCGCCTCTGTCCAGCCAGCAGCCGTGTAAATGGGTGCAGTACAGTCGATCGGCAGGTCACATGGTGCGGTAAAGTGTGGGTATTCCCACCTCTTCCAGCACGTCTGAAACAACGTGGAAGAGTAGGCCAAACATCACTCTAGAGCTCGCTCTGGTGGACGAAGCCCTTCTGCCAGCAGTGGTGTGAACAGGCATTGCAGGGCCTAACCTTTAACTATGATTGGCACACGACTCGTAGATGAAAGGACTAACGTCCGGGTGTGTGAGAGTGGAACATTGAATTGTGTCCTCACATTCCTACGGGCGAGAGAGGAGCTGCTCTCTTCCCCACGGCCACGGCTTCCACACCGACGTGATAACCAAATCACCGGGTGGAGCCTTCGTACCGATGGGGCGCGGAGCCATTAGCTCAACACCCTTTCATCGGCACCGCTGTCGATTCTCTTTTCAGAGCGTTTCATCTCTCGGTCGCAAATCTGTACGAGAGCAGCGTGGTCTTGGTAGCTACCATGAGATATGTAATATCTCCGGAATATAGTTAACTAGGACGTGCGTCTATACAACACAATTTACACACTCAAGTTGCTGCCTAAGGTGGACACGGTAATAATGGCATTGAGTCCCAAGACTCAGTGCGGCTAACATCAATGATATAGTGTGTGTTTAGCTATGGGAGGAAACTGGATTATAACCCAGATGAAACCCAGACTCAACTGCCGAAGAGCATAACAAGCTGCACGCAGAAAGTGACCCGAGTCGGGAATCAAGCCCATGGAATTCTCGCTGTGAGGCAAGAGTGCTATCACTGCGCCTGGCGTCCATCGGACGTGTCCGTGTCGGGGTCGCGCGGTCTCGGGATTGCCGGGGGGGGGATTGGCGGTCGCGTTGCACTGACAGGCGAGAGCGGGTGGATGGGAGTGTGGCGGGCAGGAGGGCTTCCCCGTGCCGAGCTGTCACTGACTGCCTTCCGCCTGTTCCGAGGGCGGCTGCTGGTGCTGCCGATGCATCCAGCCACTCCACACTCATCAGCAGCATCGTTTTTAGAAGGTAGCAGTCGGAAGGGTTGCGAGTTCAAATCCTGGTTTGGTTCTTGACTCAGCCCATCATCATCACCACTACATGGGGCGGTACTCGTTTATCGGAGACGGCTGCCCGGGAACACAACGAGTGCCTCCCACCCCAATATCGATTATGCTCAGAATGATCACGCACGCATTAACACACACACCCATTAACACACACACGCGCACCCATTAACACACACGCGCGCACCCATTAACACACGCATTAACACGCACGCATTAACACACGCACGCATTAACACACGCACGCATTAACACGCACGCACTCATGCACATTCCCCCATACGCAAACGCATTCCCACACGCACACACGCACAACAAGCACAAGACAAAGGTCCCCTGTGTAGCCTTACACAAACTATTGGGGCAAGTGCCGTTAACGAGCAACTATGAAGGCCGGCCACGGCACACGAGGGGGTGGGTGGCCAGCACCACGCCCGGCCGCCTTTGTCTCCCCAGTGTCGATGTTTACTCACTGCACCAGGTACTCATTTGAGGCTGAGTCGAACTAGGTTAAGCCTAGGACGGGTTCAGATAATTATCGTCACCGGTGTTGGCCGTGAACGGGAATCTTAACTCGCGTGGCCGGGCCCGTGTGACCGCGCACACTCACTGACACACACACACTCACTGACACACACACTGACACACACACACTCACTGACACACACACTGACACACACACTGACACACACACACTGGCACACGCACGCTGACACACACACTGACACACACACACTGACACACACACACTGACACACATCCATTCACGCTCGCACAGACAAGCTGGCTCACTCATGCACACGCTCACACACGCTCGCACAGACCCACACGCTATCACTCCTACCCCATACACGCGCACACTGGCACACGCTCACACGAAATCACACACGTTTACACTCGCACTCACACACATACCGCTCACACACAGACACACGCTGACACACGCACCCACACACACTCACTGACAGGCACAGACACACTGACACACACACAGACACACGCTCACACACACTGAGAGACACACACTGACATACGCACCCACACACACTCACTGACAGGCACACACAGACACACTGACACACACACTGACACACACACAGACAAACACACACTGACACACACACTCACACAGACACACACACACAGACACACACTGACACACACACGGGCCTCGCACGCGCGCGCAGAGCACGCACGCGCCCGTGCACATCGCGCGCGACATCGTCTGCTGCATCATCCCCCACCACCACCATCATCACCACCACCATCCCCCACCACCACCATCACCACCATCATCATCACCACCACCATCCCCCACCACCACCGTCCCCGGGAGCGAGCGCTGTCAATGGCCATGGCCGCGGCATTGACCGCGGGAGGCGGCGGTGCGGGAGGGACGCGGCAGAGCGGCGGCGGCGGCGCTGGCGGCGGCGTGGGGGGGGCGGGGGTGGCGGTGGTGGCGTGGCCGGGAGATCGCGCCCTGCGGCCGGCCTAACGCCCCCCGCCAGGGACGGAGCCGGCGCCTCTTCTTCTCCTTCTTCTTCTTCCTCTTCGCCGGAGGAGGAGGAGGGGGGAGGCGAGGGCCATGAAGAGGGAGGACTTGAGAATGATGAGCGAGAGCCATTTTCCCTACCGGCGTCACTCGTGGATATGGTGAGGCCTCCTCTCCCTCCTCGCTCGCTCCCTCTGCGCGTAGCCACCACCAACAGCACACTCGGTACACACAGTACACACACACAGCACACACAGTACACACACACAGTATACACAGTACACTTACACAACACACAGTACACACAGTACACTCACACAGAACACAGTACACTCACACAGCACACACACAGTACACCCACAGCACACACAATACACTGACAGTACACACAGTACACCCACACAGTACACTCGGTACACACACACAGTACACTCACACAGTACACTCACACAGTACACACACACAGTACACTCAGTACACACAGCATACTCACACAGTACACACAGAACACTCACTCAGTACACACAGTACACTCGGTACACACGCACAGTACACAGTACACTCACGCAGCACACAGTACACTCACGCAGCACACACAGTACACAGTACACTCACACAGTACACACAGCACACTCAGTACTCACACTCACACAGTACACACAGTACTCACACAGCACACACAGTACACATACACAACACAGTACACACACAGTACACTCACACAGTACACAGTACACTTACACAGCACAAACATGTACACTTCCACAACACACAGTACACACACAGCACACTCAGTACACACACAGTACACTCACACAGTACACTCACAGTACACACTCACAGTACACACACACAGTACACTCACACTGCACACACAGTACACTCACACAGTACACTGTACTGTGTGAGTTACTCTACTGTACTGTGTCACTTGGGCAGTGCGAGTTACTCTACTGTACTGTGTCACTTGTACAGTGCGAGTTACTCCACTGTACTGTCACTTGTACAGTGTGAGTTGCGCTACTGTACTGTGTCACTTGTACTGTGTGAGTTACTCTACTGTACTGTGTCACTTGTACAGTGCGAGTTAATCTACTGTACTGTGACACTTGTACAGTGCGAGTTGCTCTACTGTGCTGTGACTCTTGTACAGTGCGAGTTGCTCTACTGTGCTGTGACACTTGTACAGTGCGAGTTGCTCTACTGTACTGTCACTTGTACAGTGCGAGTTACTCTACTGTGCTGTGTCACTTGTACAGTGTGAGTTACTGTACTGTCACTTGTACAGTGCGAGTTACTCTACTGTACTGTGTCACTTGTACAGTGTGAGTTACTCTATTGTACTGTGTACATACTGCATGGCACAAGTGTGGTGTGAGTCTTGCTACTGCTACACTCTCGTGTGCTTGCTGTGGGTGAGTGTTGGACCCCGTGCCAAGGTGGAGGGGGGCATGGGGAGCATGGGAAGGATGAGGGCTGCCGAGTGAGAGACCCGGGGGTGTGCGCTTCGCTCTCGCAGCGGCTCGCTCCCCCGTCTCGTCTGCCGTAGGCGGCTTCGTCGTGGTCATTTCTCCAGCAAGCGGTGGCATCCTCACCCGTACTTAGCACCTATCTTCCTGCAGCCAGCACAACTCATAATTCACTTTGCGGGGCTAGGCCACGGTCGTCTGGGCCAAACGTGTGTCTTCTCGGTTGGTGGACGGTCTTAATTATGTAAATTTGGTGCAGATCATTGCGAGGCATAACCCAGAATCAATGATGGCTCACGGCTGTTGATGGCCGTCATCGTCACACACTGGTCCGTGATGTGGCTGATGCAGAGCTTGCGTTGACCTGTGCCTGTGTATTTGGACGATTGTGGGGCGGGCGGTGGCGCAGCGGTTAGCGCGCTTGTTCGATTCCCGCTCACGGTGTTGAAACATCGCCACTGGAGAGACAAAGGCGGTCGGGTGGTGCTGGCCACCAACCCATCCACCCCCTCGTGTGCCGTGCCGACTTCCACAGATGCTCGCTCGCTAACAGCGCTTGCCCCAAGAGTCTGATGAAGCGATACACGTGGGATCTTTGTCTTGGACGATTGCAGTCATCGCCCATTACTCACAACAATGTTGAGCATCGTGTGAGTGGCGCTGTGAAGACGCGTGGTCTCTGTGTGTGTGTGGCTTCATTGGCCTGTCACTCATAGCGAGGTGAGAGGTTTGTGGGGATCCGGGAAGGGAAGATCTGGGGGGGGGGGTGGGGGTCTTGTGTCTGTGTGAAGAGTTCTCCATCTCCTCTGCTTGACCTCTACCACCATCGCAAGCTACCTGCCGACTGGACTGTGGTGAACTCCATTTATACTGCTGGGTGCGGGGGAGGATGAATGAAACTGGTGACCTTAGCATTCCGTGTCCAGCGTGCTGCTGACCATTAACACCACTGTGGCAGCTACCTTCAGCTCTCATTTAAACGTGTAAAACCTATGTTTAGTGCTCGAGACATTTATCTATGATCAGAAAAACCGGTTTGTACCATGTTTATGGTTATGCAAATATTCGGTGATGGTGTTTCTGCTGCCTTGGCAGTGGTGCACAAGCACAACAACAGACATCTACACATTCATCTTTAACATTGGTCTTAGAAGGACACGTAATTATAATCGGTGACGTTAAGGCAATGGCCCTTCTAATGACTACTAATAGCCGTCCCTCCTGTGCCCGGCGCAAGAGGACTCTGCACCTGGCCTGCGAGCGGCATCGGCCTGCCAGCAGGGGGCGATGATTATTGCTATGTGTGTAACATCAATTGGGTAATTTGGGGTCTTTCTGACGAACTCAACTCAGCGAGAAAACGAAAACACAACGAATAAGAACAAATGGGGCCTGCGTAATGGGAAAGACCCCCTTAGGGCTCAGGCGTTCATGACAACTTCGTGCATGAGCATATCCATCTCTCCACATCAGCAAAAGTGTTTCACAACCCATCAACAGCACGGCCTTAAGATCACTTACAGTGTGTCATCAGCAGAGTCAGTCTTTCTTGAACCAATAGTTGGTGAACTGACAGATGTTTATAGGCAAAGGACTCTTTATTTAAGGTGTGGGGGTCTCATTTCGATGCAAAATTATACAGAATACAAACGTCACTATAATCATCAGCATCGTTGTGGAGAATATAAATCGCTAAATAGATTATGTATATCCTCCTCCGCTCTGGAGATTCGTATATAATGAAGGAGACATTGTCTGCTTATTATTTATATTCTCCACACAGATGCTTGTGATCGTTTTGCGAGAGGCAGGCGGGTCTGTCCCGCAGAGGAGGGGGGGCAGTCTTGAGATGTACAGATTTATAAATAGAGCCCCCCCCCCCCCCCACGGAAATACAACACTCCCTCAATGTATTGTCTGGTGAATATTAATACAATACCAATTGTCAAGGTCTACATGAGGAGGGGGGGGGGGATTTCCTCAATCGCCCCCCACTTTGTCCTGCCACCACAAACTGTTTTATTAATGTTACCAGCTAAGGCCCACTGAGCTATATCGATCCTTTTCAGAAGCGACCTGGCCATCACTATTGATAGCTCAACGTCGTGGCGTATCACGTGGAAATACTCTAAACGCATGTTTCTAAATGTAGGAGGGAACAACCAGAGGACGTGGAGAAGAATCCACGCAACCACGGGGAGAACACACAAACTCCAGCTATACAGCAGGTGTCAGGCTCGGGATGAAACCAACCACCTCCTGTATACCAGGCGAGGTTGTGAGCATCATGCCACCGTGGCGCCCTGTATTGCGAGAGAGAACCTGTGTGTCTGGGTCGTTGTGTTTGTGGTGCTGCTGGGGTGTGTGTAGACGTGTGTTGATCTTGACTGTGAGACACCACCTCTGCAGAAGTGTCGTCATGCAGCAGCACTGCGTGATGGTAGCACGCCAGGCAGCGTCACTGCGTGAGTGTGAGAGAGGTGTGAATGTGTGCGAGGGGAATTTGTGTGTGTGACGGAGAGTTTGCAAAGATGTAAGAGTGTGTTAGAGAGAGAGAGTTTGTGTGTTTGTGGGGAGCGATGGCGGCGCTGTTGGCGCGTTGCGCTATGAACCCGGCGGCCCGAGTTCGATTCCAGCTTACGGCCAACACCGGTGACGATTTTCTGCACCGGTCCTGGGCCTCCCCTAGATTGGCTCAGCCTCAAATGAGTACCTGGTGTGGTGTGTAAACATCACCACTGAGGAGACAAAGGCGGCCGGGCGTGGTGTTGACCACCAACCCCCTCGTGTGCCTTGCCGGCCTTCATACGTGATCGCTTACAGCACTTGCCCCAACACTCTGTTCAGGCTATATGGGGAATATTTGTCTTTGTTGTGTGTTTGGGAATTTGCAAAGGTGCGAGTGTGTTAGAGTATGTGTGTTGTCAGTCATATCAGTCAGTTCACCCATGGAACTTGGGTCTGTCCCGTGATCTCCTGCAGGTAGCGAGCCTTGCACTCTTCACGTGACCTCAACGTGCACCTAGCCTGTCACAAGCGCTGTGTTGACGTCACCTCCACTTCGTGGCGAATGGCAGCTGTTGTTGTTATTGGTGTGTGTATGTATGTGGAGAGTTGGCGTGTGAAGGTTTGTGTGTGCGTGTGACTATGTCCGCCATGCTCTCGAGTATTGTGGCTCAGCAGGTCATCATAGCAATAAATTGTACGCACTTTGACGATCAAAAGATAAGACCTTAATGAAGAGTGACAGTTAAATTGTTTTGTTAATAGGATATTACCAAATAAAGCAGAACAAAATTGTTAAATGCCACGTTAATTTAGCACTGTTATGACTAATACCAGCAAGCAACGGGCAGCTGTGATTGCGTTATTCCAGGTAACATAACTCACCTGTGCCTACATTCGGGCATGTCTCCGTGGTTTGGGATATGGACAGGTGCTGAGCAGGGGGTTGGTGTTCAACTGCGCGCTTCCAACCCAGTGGGGAGGTGGGGGGACGTGTCCGTCACCAGCTGCAGCAGCTGAGTCGCTTGGCAGATGTGGTGGCTTCTGTGGATCATTCGTCACCAGTTCTCTGGAAGAGGCATTGCAGCTTTTGGCAGCTTTTGGCTCAGAGCCTAGGCAAAGCATCGGCCCAATTCCCAAACGAGCCCAATGGCAGTGGTCAGCGGTGAGGCGCGAGCGCGTTGGTT